GTAGATTCCTCCCAGAGCGCCCTCCGGTGCCTGGATCTCCACCAAGTACACCGGCTCCAACAGCCTCGGCTTCGCCGTCAGCTGCGCCGCGTACATCACACGACGCGCCGTCGGGATCACCTGCCCTCCTCCTCGATGGATCGCGTCTGTGTGCAGCACCACGTCGCACACCTCGAACGCGATTCCGCGCATGTTCTCCTCCGCCAACGCACCCTCCTTCGTCGCCCACTGGAACGCCGCCACCACCGAGTCCTTGATCTCGTTCAGGTACTGCACTCCCTTACACATGTCCACCACCATGTTCGGTCCCGTCGTCTCCGGTCCGAAACACCAGATCTTCTTCGCCAAGTCCTTGTCCCACCCGAACTCCTGCGCCAATATCTGCGACCGCACCTTCGGGTCGTCGCGCGGCCCGATCCGCCCGTCGTCGATCGCCTCCGGCAGCCCCTCCTCCAGTGGCCGAGCCTCGAAGTACAGCCTGTTGTGCTTGTTCGGCGACTTGCTCATCACCGTCCGCACCGACTTGTCCAGCACCGTCTCCCTGAACGACACCACCGGGTCCGACACCACGATCTCCGCGCCTCCCATGAAGTCCTCCTGCAGATCCTTCAGACAGATCTCCAAATGCAGCTCTCCCGCTCCCGCGATGATGTGCTCCCCGCTCTCCTCGATCATACACAACACCATGGGGTCCGACTTCGCCAGCCGCTTCAGCCCCTCCACCAGCTTCGGCAGGTCCGACGCGTGCTTGCACTGCACCGCCACACGCACCACAGGCGACACCGAAAACTTCATCGCCCGGATCGGGTGCGCGTCCGTCTCCTTCTCGCCCGTCAGCGTTGCGTTCTTCGTGATGAACTGGTCCAGCCCAACCATCGCCACTGTGTTCCCGCACGGCACGTCCTCCACTGACTCCTGCCTCCTTCCCATCCAGATAACCGTCCTCTGCACCGACTTCGTGTACAGGTCCTTCTTCCCGCCGGGCACGTAGTTCGGCCCCATGATCCGAACCTTCATTCCCGTCGCCACCTTCCCCGCGAACACACGCCCGAACGCGAAGAACCGACCCTTGTCCGACGCCGGAATCATCTTCGACACGTACAACATCAGCGGCCCGTTCGGGTCGCAGTTCCTGATCGCGTTCGCGTACTGGTCGTCCAGCGGACCCTCGTACAGGTTCTCCACCCTGTACTTCTGCGCCGTCGCCGGGGACGGCAGGTGGAAGATCATCATCTCCAGCAGCGCGCTCGCCGCCGGCAGCCACGCCTGCATCGTCCTCTTCATCAGCGCCTTCCCCACCAGCTCCTTCTCCTCCGACTTCAGCCCGCAGTTCAGCTTCGCCAACATCGGCCACAGCTTGTCCTTCTGGTCGTTCATGCAGATGTTGATCACCTGCTTGATCGGGTTGTACACGAACTGCACGAACCCACGCTGGCACGTCGCCGACCCCGTGTTCTTCGACGTCCACTTCTTCGTCGCCGGGTCGAAAAAGTTCTCGCCCCACAGCCTCTCCATCATCTTCTTCTCGTCCACTCCGAACTTCCCCGCGTACATCTTCGCGAAGTTCGTCAGCGTGAAAGCCCACCCGTGCAGACCCGCCGAAAACGCCACCGTCCCCTTCTCCGGATACACCTGCACGTCTCCCAGCAGCGCATCCTCGTACGTCGCCATGATCACGTTCGCGCTCTCGATCACCCGCTGGAACGTCTGGTACGCCTCCTCGCCGTCCACCTGCAGCTCCAAAAAGCATCGGTCCATCTTGTTCACCGTCAACACCGGCCTGATCCTCTCTCCCAGAGCCTGTCGCAGCACCGTCTCCGTCTGCACGCACACTCCCTCCACGCAGTCCACCACCACCAGCGCTCCGTCAGTGATACGCAGCGCCGCAGTCACCTCCGACGAAAAATCCACGTGCCCAGGCGAATCGATCAGGTTGATCAGGTAGTCGCATCCGTCCTTCTCGCCGTGGTAGTCCTTCAGCGACTCCGAAGTCATCTCGTAGTACAACGAGATACCGGTCGACTTGATCGTAATACCACGATCCGCCTCATCCTGCCGGGTGTCCGTCAGACGCACATCTCCGGCCGTCTCCTGCGCGATAATCCCCGCAGCAGCCACCAGCGAATCCGTCAGTGTCGACTTCCCTGCCACATTTCCACCACTCACCCCCATTAATCTAGGCATGTTTTGACTCTGTTATCATCAGATTTCCTCAAATGTTTTGCTAATTCAGTTTGTTCAGATTTTTATCTTCCTGAGATGTGTTAGAGAATTCTGAGGAAGGTCATGGTCACAATGGACACATCGTGGGTTTGTAGCACTACCTGAAGTATGACTGAATCATCGGACACTGTATCGTCAGACAAAAGGTGTTGGAGGAGCACCTCGTAATGTAATTTGATTTGGAAGAGTATAATTATGGTTTGAGTCATATTGATCTATACTTTTAGATATGCTGGACTACATCAAATGCTTAGAGTAAGCTCTATATAAGATAGTTTGAAGATGGCTATTTTAATGTTTTTTCTGCATTATGCTTTTTATGTAACTTTGAGCATTCCGTACATGGGCAGACATCCTGTCAACAACTTCAATCAGTGTATCGGAGGACTTAGATCTGGGTAAGGTCAGATTTATGTTCATAATGTGCCTAAATTGCGAACTAGAGGACGCAGTTATAAATTATACCGCTGCAGTCTAAGTGAATCGCACACAGTGTAACGGATTTGAAGAACAATTAAATAGTCATATGTGACTTCAATTCTATTTGAGCTATTTATTCAATGATGTTAGTTGTAGAACTACTCTTCTTGAACACAGAGTAACTTTCGAAATTCAATTCGATGAAGTCAATTGTGTCAGAATAGTAATCATAGGAAATCCACTAAGTAATAGTTTCTGATACGTACCGTGGTCAACGTGGGCAATGACAGACATGTTACGAATATTGTGCTTCTTGTCCATAATAGCACGGAGCTCCTCAGCTGAAAACTTCACCTGCAGAGCACACACTCTCGACAGCATAAGCGGACACTCAATTTCAACCGAATTCGAAAATATGATTCCGGAACCAAGGTCCGAATGACGTAGTGTTCGCGGAAACGGCTCCGAAACCCAATACAATCTCTGGGTAAGAATCAGCCGCCACAGAAACTACGCCAGTTCCACACAACATCCCTCTGAAATTCACACACCTCATACATACAAAACTAGAACAACTTCTCAGACTTCAAGACACTCACTAAGGCGCCCTAGGACTATGAGACCAAAAAACAAGAAATTTTGTAAACCTATGAGCTCCCCCAATAATTTACAGAATGAAAACGCTTAAGAAATAGGGGGTGAAGCAAAGAACCATCTTGGCGAGCTGGAGGAATTCTCGCCCACCGGGCAACCAAGGAATTCCGAGGTAGAAGAAGAGTGAGACAGAGAAAGAGACAGAGCGGGGAGCTCTTCTCCTGATGCAAAAGAGGCCGGACTGCGCAGCGAGCTCGTGAATAGTCTGCGAGACTTGGGTTTCTAATGCCCTATATTGACGGCCAAGATGAGCTGAATGGCAGTCGATCTAACGTCCACAGGGAGGAGTAGGGGTTAGGGTTTTCGGGGTCGCGGTGGTCTTTGTCGTCGCTCCGGGTGTCTTGACTTGTCTTTCGAGGTTTCGTTGCCCTTTTCCACTTTTGGGCTTTCGCGTCCGCGGGCGGCGTTCTCTTCAGGAGTGACGGCCACGTCATTGGACGGGCTGGATGATGGGTGGACGGATGGATGAATGTCAATTGGTGTGTGATTATTAGGATAAGTGAGTGGATATGGACGGATGGGTGGGCTTGGGATGAATAATTGGACATAGATGGATGCCTTTTTTAGGAATAATAATATATACATGTACTCCTTTTAATTCACAACTTCTGTGGATGAAAAAAATTAAAATTATGTGACGTTTTGTAATTTATGTAGGATCGTGAAATTATATGATTCCCAGGTAACAATATGAAATTAGAGGGTCATGAGTGGATGTGCATGAACAAGTAGCACCAAGCGACCACGATCATCATTCTCCCCTTCCCACCCTCCCTCATATCTACTTTCATCCACAAACAACATTATATTCTCAATCCATATCTCCATCCCATTTTAAGTATATAGTTTCACATTGTTTTATTAATTATGTAAGATCCCAGGTTATGAGTTCAAAATTTTTGGAACCACCTCCATTCCAACAAATATTATCAAGTAAGCAAGAAATATTACTTGAGGGATATCAAATAACCAAATTATATTTGTATATGAATTGTTGCTCAATGTTATTAACCTTGAATATTCTTGTACTTTTCATCCACTTTATCCTCGGCACTTTAAATTCGCTTTCGATGTCCCCACACGATCAGCACAATGCTTAGTTGTTTAAAACCAAGAAGATTAGCTAGAAATTTGTTTTTGTTGATGATACTATATTTGAAAAGTAAACAAAGGTTTTATTGTCAAGAAGTATTTGGTAAAGTTTCTTGAATATTTTTAAAATATATACATTCTATTTCTTAAATATAAATTTCATCATTATTGTTCACGGTAGCAATGTTTTGTTTTTTCAGTATTACTTTTCTCCTTCGTATGTAGAGGGAGAAGGGAAAATGTTGAAAAAAGGTAACCAAATTCAGTTGACATAACTAAAATTGTATAAAATAATTTCTTTTGCAAAAGAAAAGTTGTTTTACCATGTCCATCATCAATGAGAATCTAATAGTAATTCAACAAAGAAGTGAAGAAAATGTTCAGAGAATTCGTATAATGATAGCTACAAATTGAAACATAACTCCCTTACTGATACTACATCTTCATCCAACCACCTCTTTATTTTTATTCAGATTTTGCTCCAGTTGCTTCATCCAAGCTGTTAAAAGATTAAAATAACAACTCCACCTAATTGCTTGCAAAATAAAAACACATTTTGAAATACATACATACATACATACATATATATATATGAGGTACAATTGGAAAGGTGGACTATAAGCATGACATTCAATTATACAATAAACAGCAATAAGATTGCTGGTAAATGATTCAAAAAAACATCATTAACACATTCCTCCAAATCTTTGTTGAAGTTGCAATAATCATTACTCAAACATCGGAATAGCCAAACTGTTGAAAGAGTCTTGCCTAGGAACTGCAGCACAGCTACCATCATCTCTCTAGCCTCGTATCATCTGCACAGCATCACAGACTATTGGTTTGTAATTACACACTTTTAGCATAAGTAAGCAATTGCTGAGCTTAAAATTGGCAGGCGTTTTCCCTCTGTGAATGACATGCAGTCACAGCTCATCACTAGAGGCAAAGTTGAAATAAGACCGATTCTACCTGCACCTAGCTACATTGGACGTCAGCAATGGAACGTGCTTGGTTTCCATGTTCAGCAGCAGCTTTGTCAAGTTGCTTTCCACCATCACCTGCTGCTAACCACATTGCAGAAACGGTATTCCACAGGCCGGAAATCAGTACAGTCAAGCAAAGCATGACAGAATACAATAAAGCGCATCAACCTTGTATTACAACGGCAACTAAATCATGAATCAAGTAAACCCAGCACAGCATTACCAACTTAACATATCCTGTGTGTTTGCTCCTGGAAGTAATTTGCTGCGAGATCATGATCTTGTTCATGTGAGGAAACATGAATAATGAAGCTGAAATTTGAAGTAACGATTAAGTCTGTGTGACCTGGAAGATTAGTATGAAGTGCAAACTTGTTGATGCAATGATTCTATCAAACCTTCACATAGTACCCACAAATAATATTTTTCAATTTCATAGAAAACCGAAGAAATTTTGCATATCTTGCCCTTGTGCAATTTGTCGATGCTTTCTGGGTGAGAATTGCAAACAGTATCTCCACGCAGTAGTGAACGCGGTTTGGCTCAGGAAGAAAGAATCCTCATCGGATCAGCCTAAAAATTTCATGCAAGAAAAGAATCTCATCTGGGGAGGTTGCGAGTCCTCGTATAGTTCTCCTGCTGTAATCCTATTCATCACTGGTTCTTCGATCCACCTGATAGGTGCTGAAACCACCCTGCTTCCGCCGTCGCCCATGGCCAATGTCCAGAACCCACACTCCTCTTCTTCGTTAGACTGATTCTCAGGGAACGACGAACCCACCTCTTCGCAAACACACGAAGCAAGAAATGAGCCACTTCCAGCCCACTACATCCTGCAAGTCCACGATTCCTTTCTCCTTCATTTGAGGAAGGTTTCGTAGAGCAATTTTTCAGAAGATTGAAAGCAGTATATTTATGCATGCATTGTATTTCATCACTCGAAGGACATTGGATGTCAAATAGCAACTGGTTAGATCGTAATTGAAAGAGGAAAAAAAGGGAAAGGCGAACAACGCATACCATAGGAGAGCAGGCGTCATCCGAACGATCGATCTTGAAACTCTCCACAGGAAGAGAACATAGAGCAACTGAGAAAAATGCTCATTCTTGAGTGTGTAGATGCAAGAGCTACTGACAAGTAGCAACTATAACTTAACATACAAGTACCGGCTACAAAGACAAGCTGGCATAAATTCTTTGTCAAGAACCCACACAATTATATCAGCGTCTCTAACACAAATGCCCACAACACTCTCTTCGAAATTACACATTCCTTTAGATAACCGTGTCCACACCGAACTACATGTATCCCTGATAATATTCAACACTTAAATGCGTGTCCGGGGTCCCAATTAGCCACATGGTTAGCACTAAATTGATTGAGCATGATGGATCTGTAGTTCTTGAAGTAGTCAGAATCTTCAAGAGGGCTGTTAAATGATAATTAAACTGCAACTAATCACAAACACCAGCCTTAATTGAATCAGGGCCAAGGAAAGGGCAACAACGCAGAAAATCTGGTGTTGAGTCAAACCAAAAATACAGCGGCGCTTGGGGTTCTAAAAAGTGGATGATGCAACACTCAAACCACTGCAGTACCCCACGAGGACAATGCCTTGATCCCTCCACCGATTCCAGCTATCGTTGCTAGTTCCATTTTTCAGTCACAGGTTGATACGCCACACACCCAATTGTAAGTGAAACCTGGAGCGCAGCAGCACTTGAGGTTATTTAGATGTAGATGATAAAATTGCAGCGCCGTTTACGTGGATGGTAACAGTGAAATACTCTACATGCACGCAGGCCTGGCTCCTATATGGGTTACGTAAAATCGAAACTTCCACTAGATGTTGTAAGCCTGCCGAGATCTTTGTCCCTAAGATCAAACTGTATACCGCAGTGGATGCGATTAGAAGGATGTACTCTACGGCACTCCTCATTGAAAAAAAACATCAGATCTGTGTTGGAACAGTGCTTACACACATGGACAAGCAGATGGGGTGACTGGAGGATGTGAGACATGCCGATGGTGACAAGATGTAAAACTTCACTGTGGTTGCTATTTAAACCTCCATTTATACCTATGTTTTTACATACAGCGGATTTTTTCGCTGTACCGAGAAACGAGTTTGCGTCAAATGAACGTCAAGTAACAGCGGATAGTGGAAATAAGACTATAGAATTACAGTAGCGGTCCTTTTTTGCGGAACCTACTACTGAATCCAAATTATATGCACTATGCCCATACATTGTCTGAATGCTAATGACACTAGCAATTTGTAAGTGGAACCAGACGTGTCTAAAAGAGTGAGCGTGAGGAATCAAAGACAAAATACACGTAAGAGAATTTATATTGGTTAATAAATTAGATCCACATCATCCCTCATGCAACCTCTCAAGCAACATCAAAAGCACTAGAAACCCTATCTAAAATTCAAGTCTGAAATAACTACGAATGATTGCGCACTTCTGCACTTTCACACATGATAATCCTGAAAAAGAAAATGATTCCACTCTGCTAACTGTAACGGCTGTTGCTCCGTATGGCTGACAGACACTGTTCATTTCAAGCAACTTACGAGAACCAGAGATAGAGCTAAATCACTACAATGATGGGAGCAGAAACAGTGCAAAGACAAATATCGAAACAAAATTGAGACTCTAAAACAGCCATATATTGAAAGCTGGGAATCCGACAAACATCCATTGTGGCATCAAATTTGACCCAACCCAAAAAAATCACCCCCAAAAAAGCCAAAAGATGAAGTGGAAACTAAGACTAAGAGGAACCTTGGTAGAGAGAAACTGTCTACTTCTTCTTGCCGACCTTGCCCTCCTTACGACGGATAACCTCGTCAGAGTATTTGATACCTTTGCCCTTGTAGGGTTCCGGGGGCCTCCACTTCCTGACCGCGGCAGAAAAGTCTCCCACAGCGCATTTGTCTTTGCCCGACACTATCACCCTCGTGTTCTCCTCCACCTTCACAGTGATAGCCTCAGGAATTTTCATGCGCACTTGGTGGGAGAATCCCAAATTCAGTGCTAGCTCGTCCTTCTCTACGGCTGCTCTGTATCCCACACCGATGAGCTGGAGTCTCTTCTCGAATCCCTTGCTCACTCCGATAACCATGTTATCCGTCAATGTCCTAAATCATTCCAAAACCACAACAACCTTAACCTCGGTTCCCAAATTCTTGGCATCCTTAGATCTAAGTTCTTTCAAATATAGTCACTACACTCCCTTCATTCAAGAATCGCCACAAACAGCAACAAAGTAAAGAAACAAAACCTATTCAAGTGAATTCCGCATACCTGAAGAGACCGTGCATTTGGCGAGCTCTCCTGGACTCCACAGCCCTCTCCACCAGCAGAACCTCGCCCGAGTTCGTGAGCTTCACCTCTCGGGGGTAAGTTCTCACGAGCTCTCCGAGGGCACCCTTGACGGACAAGTTCTGGCCATCGAGGTTGACAGTAACACCCTTCGGCACGGGAATCGGGGCTTTTCCAATCCTCGACTCCTTGGCCTCGATTACGAGCGCTCCCTTGCCTTGCAGCTGCACCTGGCACAACGAACCGGCATTGTCGACAATAAGAGACTCTCCTTGGAAGCTGCTTCGCAGGGATGAGCTGCAGGGGGCTGAGAGGGAGCACGCCAGCGACGCCATCACTGCATAATCCACACAAATCAATCGACAATTCTTCCGCCCGAGAGGCAACGAAGGGAAGACGCAACCGGCTCCCGCCGCTCTATCTCGTGGTGCTGGTAGATATGGCTGCTGAGCTTCATCCATCTTATCCACCAATATCATCCGTCTCGGTGCCCCTCTTTTGGATGTATATCCATCCATTCGAGTTCTGTATGGTCGACATCCTTGTCTGCGAATTTTCATTCTGAGCTGAGTGTGGTCAAAAGACAGACAATTTGGAAATTATCGAGCTTAACTTAAAACTGAAAATACAATCTCAAGTACAATCTTCAAACTGTCAAATTGTAATGAGAAAGAGACTCCAAAAGTTGTCGATTATAGATCAATTTCGTATGGAGAACATGGTCACGTTGTCAAAAAGGATTATAAGTGTTTCTCAAAGCTTGCAAGATGATTGTAATGATCGGTTTCTGTGAAATTTATCGTGGTAATCTAAGAGGTGTGGACAATATGTGAAAACAGCCATTGAAATCACTTGTGAACTCCTAAAATCGACTTGTGTTGTGAAGATTTGATTCATGGCACATAATTGCTGCAAAGAAGTTGAAAGAAGAATCCTCATAGCTTAGTCACTCATAATTAGGTATTACTGTAAAACAAAGCAGAAAAGATTCCATAGGAAAATATAATTCCTAGTCCTAAATCCTTCTCAATTATCTCATCTGGTTCGTGCCGTAAGATACTGCTGGGAGCTTCTTCCCCATTGATGCTGTTCAAGATCAACAGTCCTTCATGAGAACATTAAGACAATGTTCCGCACAGTTCCGGCCCTCAGTGCAATTGAATTCACTTCATACTTCTGACCACATTGACATCACCATAGATTGAGAAAATTCTGTTTTGTTGCAACAGGGCAGGTATAACCAATCCAACTTTGAACACGAATTTGAACTCTGCTGTGGACAACTCTTCTGTACGAGTTTACTGAAGTTGGGACAGATATCAATCAGATGAAGGTGGATCCATCAAATAGGTTTCAGTTACATTTCGCTAATTTAGTGACGTCGCATATGTGGCAGCACACACTAAATCTGCTTCAGAGCACCTCCCCGTTCATTCAGATGGAGAATTGGGAGCCCAAACTAATCAGAATCTAAGAAGAGCTAAAAATCAGTTTGAAAAAAATCCCTGACTCAGCCTGTACTTTTCCTTCATGCCGAAATTCCTTCGTAGCATCGACGCGTACAGTGTTTAAGATCTCATAATACAGTGGAGGCGAGTCTAAAGTATAGTCTGCATTGTAAGGCGGTTGTCTAGAGGATAATGAACAGACCAACTGTTCACAAATTCTCAACCTCATCTTACAAAGTTGACAAGAAGTGCACAGCAAATGAAAATAATGTAATGATGCAAGCCTAAGAGCTATCAGAGGAATTGCCTGACTGAGGGTTTTCCTCTGTTTCGAAAACCTCGAATTCATCAGGTGTCCAGCGACATCGCAGGTGCATCTTAAAAGCGGCCATTTGAACACCCAGCAGTCTCTGCATCCGAAAAGGGAGATGTTCGTGAATTCCAATAACCACAATATTCCATGGACTATGAAGCGACTACGTTCAAAAAGCTGTAAGATAGACGAAGACATAGTGTTACTTGATCCTAAGAGCTTATGTTGCAGGATCGTGTCTAATTAATAGAAGAAATAAAAATAAAGACAAAAATCACGCGAAGTCATGAGAAGAGAAAATACCAGTATTCTTGAGGCTTCAGGTGAAATGTTCTGACCCTCTGTACAGACATTGTAGTCTGCAACAAGCTCTATAACACCTGCATAACAAAAAAAGATTAATATTTTAAAAAATAAATAAAATGACAAGATAAGAACTACCGTCGAGAACGCAAGAGATTGCAAATGATCGTATTCAAAAGTGAAAAACGGGAGTAATGGCATGACAAAATCCCACTACACTATTTTTAACACACATCCATGGTGATCCACTTCAATTCCTTTCAATAATTCAAGTTGATATTCAAGTTTGCGACCCAGTTTCATCCTAGAGGACCGGTTTCCAGCATCAAGATACAGCAAGTATCCAGCTCTTTGAGGAAAATGATTACGGACAAGAACAGGAAGAAGAACATGCCTCTATTTAGCCGAACAGGCATGCCTTGCTTGCGAAGAAAAGGTTCCATGTCATGAGTGAATTGATCTAATGGTCCTTCTTTAAGGTCCACCTGTCATCAAACCCGATGTCATTTAGTACAGTACGAATTGTATTCATAGCATCAACCTAGCAAACAAGATGCGGTAATAAAAAAGAGGAGAAACAATAACTCCTCACTCCCACGTAGAACTAGACCCTTACCGTCTCAGTAGCAATGCTGCCAGTCCGTGCGAAATCCAACTCCTCAAACTCCCGGAATTCCCTAAGAACTTCAAACTTTGGAAGGTTGGTGAAGAACAGACCACAAAATCCATGTATTTGCTGCAAGAGAGAAAACAGGGTTTCATAATTATCCAACAACATCAGGAACAACGTTCAAGTCGCAACACAAAATTTTGGTGACGAAATAGAGGCGTAAGCTCCCCAACTTAATTTGTACGTTCCATACAGAAAATTACATGTAACTCAGGTTATGTTAATTCAGAACCACTTTAACAATACCTCGCTAGCTTGATGCAATCCTTCCTTATGCTCTTCAGCAGCTGTTTTCCCTAGAGCTATCTGAAGTACTTTGTTTCCTCCCAAAAAGAACCTGATCAGCCACGATGCCATGCTTAGAACAAGCACACACGCTCAAACCACCAGCATTGATCATTATTAATGGATTATGATTGAAGCAGACTGCAAAATGAACGCTTACAAGCCAAACTGAACGAGACACATTAGGGAGTCCAGATCCATCTTGTTTACATACTCTCATCAAAACTACAACGTGAAATTAATAGAAAAAAGTTCAAACCACTAAGACCACATTTCACTGATAGGACATGCGCGAGAAGCGCTACAAAAGATGGAGCAAGAGTACAACACCTGGAACTAGCCTTGAGCTTTTCCTTGAATTCTTTGAACTTAGTATTCCGCATGTTCACGAAAGAGAAAATGTAAAGCGAAGCATACTCATCGAGACAGTCGCGAACAGACTTCACGAGCGACTCCTTCTGCTCCTTGCCCTTCTTCTTCGTCTTCGACAGAGTCACTGCAACATAACCAAACAAAGTCGAGCTTAGAAACACCACAACCGCCTCATTCAATCCTGATACGACTGCGACAATAACACGCGCATTCGAATACCATTCGGTCGAACAGAAAACGACGTGCTGAGTTCCTTGTGAAACCAACACGAGAGCATCCGAGCTGCTTGTTCTCACCGAGCTTATTTCTCTTCGACTTCGGCATGATGCAAGGGGCGTTTGCGGCAGATGATCACGATGTCGCAAAATGAGCAGACGCCTGACGCCAGGAGTAACAATCGTTGAACAAGGGTCCTGAAGCTCGAAGGACATGGCTATGTCGTTAAACCCTAGCAGATTCTGCTTTAGGGGCTTAAACCCTAATCTGTCCAATTGTAGCTCTGTTCACACTGGGCAATGGAACCAAGGCCCAGGTGCCATCACTCGACGTGCCTTTTACCTCATCTTACCATATGCTTTTTCGGAAGCGTTACTTTATATCTTAATTCCTTTTGCTCTCCTTTTACTTTTTTCTGTTTCGTCGTAGCTGATTGTGAGATTTGTGTTTGTGGTGGTTGTAGAGTACAAGATTGTTAGTTAAAATTGAAGATTAGTAGTTCTGAATTTGCAGGAAAATTTTCTTTGCATTGGTCAAGAAATGAATATTAACAAGAAAAATAAATAGCATGATTGTTGAAAAATAAAAACATGGTTTGCAAGAAGAAACCAGTTAAAAATTATCATACATTTTTTATAAACCTTTACACTCATTTATATATGTGATGAAAAAAACTAATTAAATTTTATTTAAGTATCTAATGAGCTATTTAAATTAAAATAGTATAATGAATAGAAATAAGAATAATAGTAGAATGAAGATTAAATCTAGTGATTTTATAAACTATGTTACTCTATATTGGAAAATGTTATACATTGGAAATATATATATATATATATATATATATATGATGCCAATTTGTAGAACACTTCAATGGAAATGTGGTATTTAAAAAACATGATACATTACAATTTCATAAATATTATTTGTTTATTTATTTTGCAACAATATTCTAAAATAATTAAAATCATCTATTAAAATATTCATGGTTATATTGATATGTGAAAAGCAATGATCGTCATTTATATCCATATTTTATATGAACATATAGACAAGTATTAGTATAGTCTCAAGCTACAAGCACACCCCAAATTGCTATACAGACACCCATTATGTCTATATTGACATCCAAAGGCCTTCAATTGATTGATTAAGATCCCTTATTACTTGTCCGAATGCAAGTCTCAAACCTCTTCACTCTCTCCTTTATCTCCATGTGGGTCTCAATTCCCTCCTCCTCCTCTTCCTTACCTTGGTGTGGAACTCAATCCCAGTCTCCTCATCCTCTTCTTCCTTGTCATGACACCATGGCTAAGACCCATGCCAAGACAAGGAGGAAAGAATTTGGATCAGCCAATTAAAGGTCTTGAATGTATCTATAGACATAATGAGTGTATATATGGCAATTTGGGGTGTGCTTGTAGCTTGAGACTATATTAATACTTGTCTATATGATCATATAAAATATGGATATAAATGATGATCATTGCATTTCACATATCAATAGAATGAAGTTATAAACTCTTAGAATACTTTGCTTGATTTTTTTTATTATTTTATATAATATCATTTTTTTTCAAAATAGATTTGTATTCATTTTTTTAAATGTATAAATTATACAAGAATATATATATATATATATATATATATATATATGGAGAGAGAGAGAGAATTGTTAAATTGACTAAAATATTTACTAAAATTGACTGATTTTTTTTTAATTATTAATTATTGAAAGAACATTAAATATATAAATGTGGCTTTATAAAATGCAATGTAATTGATACATAGAAAAATAAAAGTATTGTACTATTCTTACTTCAAAAAATGTTAATATGTTAGAGATATCACAAACATAGTCTTTATTATATAATATAATTAAATTCACATATATATATATATATATATATATATAATAATTTTGTATAAATATACATGATTTAGTACAACAAACAATGAACAATTAATCTATAATTTGCACAAATTTATATCATTCAAACACATTTTAATATTTGATGTTTTTTTTTGTTAATAATTCTTCATTTAATATTAAACTTTTCAAACAAGTTATTATTCTTTTGGTTGTAATAAGATAAACAGTGAAAACATTTTAAAAAATTACAAAGTACAAGATATATTGATGACAACTAATATATTTCACCACAATCAAAAGTCTATTATGTTGTGTACTTCAGTCTTTGATAACAGAATACAAAATTACTTATACAAAAATATAAATATCCCACTCGGTCATCCACATATGTCATATGCAATCTATTTTGTTTTGGAATATTGGATATATGTTTCTATCACTAGATGCAAATATACTCGTCTAAATGGTCATTAACATTGTTGTTCATTAGCTTATCAAGTCGATTTCAACCCATGTAGTTATTGAGTGTAGTTCAATCGTTCATGTGAGTATCAAATGAAAATCATATATTTGCGACAAATATAATGTCAATAATATTAAGTCAAGTCACTTCAAAAATTCTACCTCTTAAATATGCATGACTCATAGTCATCTATAAATATTTTATATTTTTATATTTTAATGTGTGGTCGTTACTTATCACCAAGGCAGTAACCAATGTAAAAGTTGCAACAAACACATAAAATGTGCAATGCATTAAGATTGCGTAATCTACAAGCTAGCTTATAAAACCCACTCCAAAAAGCCGTAAAGGGACTTTCCAATGTACTGTGTCTTTCAGTTTCACTCTGTCTACGGTAAAGATGAAATTCTTCAATTAATTATAATCCCTAACATAGCCAGGTTCATTCAAATGCACTTTCGACACAAAATAGAGGATATCAAACAACCATGAAATATGAAAATACTAAGAAACAAACACTGTCGGAATTCCAACTCAATGCAAGCCTCCTACAAACCAAAGTAGATGCAAACATACAAAACCCACATCTTCCGGTCATATATATATAAATACATATTCCTCAAGGAGATAACTGGTACAGCCATTACTGAACAGTGAGCAATCTTGAAGTAATAGAACATGACTCTGCGTGAGAGCCAGATTCCAACTTTCACTGTCATAGAGGAATAAACAATGAGACTGCTGGTCACCCCAAGTATACACAACTGAGAAAGCGCTGCCATAAGGAGATGCTTCGATTGTAGTGTGCCAACCAGAGTAGAGACAACTTACAGGAAAGGGAGTTCCAAGAGCTTACAAAAAATGCCACATGGAGCTGGACTGCTGAGAAAGACTGTCCCTGTAATGAACTCAGCAAGGACGGCTAGATTGCACGTCTTGTATATGGGTGAAACAAATGACGTTGTGGTTCAGTGCACAACTTAGAAGAAAAGGACAGTGAATCCCATCAGGAAGCAGCAACCTCCAACCCACGGACTCAATCGCTCCCCTGCAGGAACAATGTTGACATCAGTGAAGCTGTACAAGAGACAAGGCAAGATGGGCATTCTCGATGCAATGTTTGTTCGATCTGATTACAATTAGATGCAGAAATATGTAATTTGAGCTTTTCTTTTAATCATCATTGAGGACAGGAAGCTATGAACGCACCTATGCGGGCTGCTTTCCAGAAGAAGCCTCGAAACCTGCAAATCACCGCATATGATTACGATAAGAAACTTGGAGATGAATCCAACCAACACCTCGCGGTCAAACCCTGATCTACTCTTCAAAGAGGGACAAGTTAGAGAAATAGTTGTTCTTGACAGTAAAACAAAAAATTAAAATAAAAAAGCTTAACTCGATCACTCACCCAGTTTTCTGATCCATAATCTTAGGAGCCTGAATCTTGACGTAAGTGCATGTGCAAATAACCAACAGCACCACAGTCAAGAATGACTGAAAATTGAAAAGCGCTGACTGCCCAACCCCACCACACATACACCAACACGCACTCAGTATGGTTCAAGCCCTAAGACAACAAAATTTACGCAAAACCACACGATACCAACTAACAAACCTCACATCTCCACACCAACACGTACACCAACAATCTCCATCAAATCTTAGAAAACCCTAATAAGCTACCAACTCAAAAAGAAAAAAAACAAATAAAAAAGAGATCAAACTCCCTCAACTCTCAACGGAACAAATCAAGATAAAATCTAGCAGAGAGAGGGAAACACCATCTTGGTAGAGCTTCTGTCTGTGCTCGATCACCAGTCGCACGATCGAAGGAAAACCCACTGATGGAAACAGTAATTAGGAGTGGGAGAGAGAGTTTAGAATCAGTAGTGCTTCCGGTGACTTCGTTTGAGGAACGACGACAGCAAGGCCCACGACTGTAGCGATTGACAGACGAAATGACACATTAGGACAAACGAAAAATGAACGTTAAGTAAAACCATTCCGTGGTAATGCCAACTGGGCAAAATTACATGAACCGAGCCCTAAGTCCCACCGCAATTTTCGTCGTTGGATCAGGCACCGCCCATCTGAGCCGTCCGAGGACACGATGAGCAACCGAGGCCTCCCATATATACAGCACAGTCGAACTCGTGTCTCTCTTTCACAACCAGAGGAGAGTAGCCTGCTCTCTCTCACCGTCACTTATCTGCTCCTCTCGCCTCAATCCTTTGCTGCCCAGTGGGCACGGACTCCTCAAGCGCGTCAAGATGGTACGTCGCCAACCCCTGCGCCGTTTGCGTGGTTTCTTGTCATGCGGAATTGCCATAGCAGTCGGATTCGCATGTCTTAGTGATTTCCTTCGCTGGACTTCTGTAAAATTTCCATCTTGTCGATTGTCCATATCTGGAATGGCGAGATAGCAATTCCGGGGGGTTTTGGAGTTACGGAGGACACTTAACTTCTCCTACTGGGGATTTGTGAAATGGATGCCTTTAGGGTTTGGCAATGTGGTTTATGTGCTAAGATTGTGGTATGGATGTATTCTTACAGGTGAAGTTTTCAGCTGAAGAGCTTCGTGCCATTATGGACAAGAAGCACAACATCAGGAACATGTCCGTTATCGCCCATGTGGATCATGGTAAGTGGATTCCACCTCCTTAGCTCAATGCCATCGAATTATTTCGTTCTAGGTCTTGCGCTCGTGAGGTATAATATATCTCTCCTATAAGGTGAATTGTACCAGTATGAGCTTCAATTGATGCAGTATGCAATTTTAATCGAGTTACTTAAATTAAATGAAATTCTGTGACATGTCTGAGGTATGATCACATTATCCGACAGCACTAATGCGCACCAAGTGTGGTCATAACAACTTGGGAACAGGTCTTTCTGCACATGATGTAACTCGATACTGAAAGCAGCTAATCACATAATGCATTGGGGAATAGAATTTGTGAAATGATAATCCATCTACAATTAGATTTATTTCATGTTCACGGTTGTGGAATTCAAGTTTTTATGAATTTTCATATCTTAGAAGCAGCGAATCCCAATTCATGCTGCATGGAAGTAGTCGGATTTTGTCAGTTCAAAGTCGAAAATGCCTTGCGCAATGTCGATTCCATGCTATGCTTACGTATTTCAAATTAACATTCTAGATACACGTCCGCAAGCATAAGACACGTGAGCGGGAAGACTTTATTTTATGACGACAACAAAATTCAAACAAACATATGACGCATGAGTTTAATGGGGGTGAGTGGTGGGAATGTGGCAGGGAAGTCGACACTGACGGATTCGCTGGTGGCTGCTGCGGGGATTATCGCGCAGGAGACGGCCGGAGATGTGCGTCTGACGGACACCCGGCAGGATGAGGCGGATCGTGGTATTACGATCAAGTCGACCGGTATCTCGTTGTACTACGAGATGACTTCGGAGTCGCTGAAGGACTACCACGGCGAGAAGGACGGATGCGACTACCTGATCAACCTGATCGATTCGCCTGGGCACGTGGATTTTTCGTCGGAGGTGACTGCGGCGCTGCGTATCACTGACGGAGCGCTGGTGGTGGTGGACTGCGTGGAGGGAGTGTGCGTGCAGACGGAGACGGTGCTGCGACAGGCTCTGGGAGAGAGGATCAGGCCGGTGTTGACGGTGAACAAGATGGACCGATGCTTTTTGGAGCTGCAGGTGGACGGCGAGGAGGCGTACCAGACGTTCCAGCGGGTGATCGAGAGCGCGAACGTGATCATGGCGACGTACGAGGATGCGCTGCTGGGAGACGTGCAGGTGTATCCGGAGAAGGGGACGGTGGCGTTTTCGGCGGGTCTGCACGGGTGGGCTTTCACGCTGACGAACTTCGCGAAGATGTACGCGGGGAAGTTCGGAGTGGACGAGAAGAAGATGATGGAGAGGCTGTGGGGCGAGAACTTTTTCGACCCGGCGACGAAGAAGTGGACGTCGAAGAACACGGGGTCGGCGAACTGCTAACGTCCTTTG